GAATTGAACCAGACTATTTCATCTATTTGATAGGCAAAAATCTCTTTATAGTATTTTCAATACTTAATGCCTTTTTTTCTTTTGGCAAGATTGTGGTGCATCAGTTATAAAATCCTAATGTGAAGTTGGATGTAAATGTAAGGTAGAATTTTTGGGGTCCTTTTTTGACCCTGTTGTATGCGTTCCAATGACTTTTCTCTAGTATGGTCATTATCATAGAAATTCCTATCAAATACTACAGCAAGAGCTGACTGCAAACTCTGTAAATATTTTTAAATGTTTAGGGTTGGGCTTTTTTCAGAGAAACAGGAAGAAAAAATGTTGCTGTAATCAGCATTTCTGAATGAAGTTATCTTATTCTGTAGTCCTGTCAAAACAATGTAAATACCAATCAGTTCAATCCAGATAGTGATAGGATGAGGGGGAACGAGGGGGAATGGCTTTAAACTAAAAAGAGAGGAAAAATTCTTTACTATGAGAGTGGTGAGGCCCTGGCCCTGGTACAGGCAACCCAGAGAAGTTGTGGGTCCCCCATCCCTGGAAGTGTTCAAGACCAGGTTGAATGGGGCCCTGAGCAACCTGTGGGTGGCATCCCTGCCCACAGCAGGAGGGGTTGGATCTAGATGTCCCTTCCAACCCAAGTTCATGTCTTCATCTCAGAAATGTCTAAAAGAGTATTAAATTCACAAACAAATTTGCCTTGCTTTCTTTTCCAGCAAGTCCTTTATAAGTGAGGTTTTATTCACTTGCATTTGAATCCACATATTCAACCCCTTCATGGGGCTCAGTGTTTCTGCTTTGGCAGTTGCTACATGCAAATGTTAGAGCTAGACATTACTGAGCATACGTTATTAAAATATCTGGGATCAAGTCCTCCCTTCCTTGTTGTTTCAGCAATATATATTCCTGTAGTTGAATGATTATATCATAGCATCAGCTCTTACAGTTAAGAGAGAAGGAAAAGCCCACCCTTTTAAAATTTCCACTGTCTTTATTTTTTGCTTATAACAAAGTTAACTCTGCTGAATGCCACTCATCAGGTGATAGATGTAAGAAGACTGTCTAGCTTGAAGAATTAATTTCTCTCTTTGGGATATGGTGTATCCATGTTCTCTGGTATATACTAATATATTACTGTGTTGTAATTATAATACTGATTTATGCTATTAATATAAACAAATTATGAAAGAATGGTTGGAAAAGGATCTGGAAAGTTGCAAAATTAATATTAGAAGTTTTGCCCTTTGAACAGTGACCTCAATGGGATAACAACTTCCATTTCCATTTCTTTCACTGTAAAAATCAAGGCAAGTAAGTGTTGGGTAGCTGTGGACAGTCTTTACAATTCTGTATCTCAAGAATGAAAACTGGTTGTGTATTAAAGGTTTTCTTGAATTCTCCTATAGGCAAATCTTACAGAAGTTTATTTACATTACTGCAAACAAGATGTTTTCAAGGAATCCTCACTTCCCATCTGTTATATAAAACCTAAACTTCAGTGGCAGCTTTGCAATACACTACAGATCCTGGACTTCATATATACTTATTGCAAAGTTTAATGCTCCCTTCAGTCCTGGCACTTCAACACACATCTGTTTGAGTTATTTACAAGCTTATATAGCTCTTTTCCTTATTTCCAAGCATGCTGTTGTTGGTACTCTTTCTCAGCAAGTTGCAGGGAAAATTTTCACTGACCAAACAAGTCTCTTTTTTTGAGTTTAGCTTACTGTTACAAGTTTTAAAGGTTTTAACTTAAAACAACAGGAAAATGTAGATCACTTTCTAAATGTTAAATTGACCAGTGAAATGGAGTAGTTGTGCAAAAAGATTAATGAACTGTTCCTGCAGATTTTCCAGTCTAAGACTGGATGTTAGTAGGCTTCTGGCTGTTCTTTTTAATGAAGGAATTCCCCAGTTAAAATTATAATTCATTTTAGAACAGCCCAATCTCACGCAATTAGTGCATTTAGATTGTTCTGAAATAGCAGAACTGACTCCATCAGCTATGCAATATGTGCCTCTACAGAAGTAACTAGCACCTGAACAGAAAATAGGGACACTTTTAGAGCCCTTTTAGTATCACACATTCCTTCATTAGAGCACACACAGCAGAGCAGCCTCAGTTGTACAAGAAGCCTTTTGGTTATTCAGACTGAGAGGAGAATCTCTGGCCCTTCTTGGGAAGGTGAGAAGAGGGAGGAGATGTAATATCAACTTTATAGTGCATTAGTTGGAGCTCATGGTTTTGGACAATGTGCTTCTCTCTTTGGTACAGTTCCTATTCCTGTGTTGACTGACATTAACAGCACAATTCAATTGTCCCATTCCAAGTTGCTGGTGGCATTTAAGAAGCATTAGCATGCTCAGATCATCCACGTGGCAGATGCAGAGTGAGAGCTGTGCTGGATGCCACAAGGAATGTTCAAGGGCATTTTGTTTCGTGCCCTAGATGGTATTCTCACTAGATGCCTATATGTAGGCACCAAATAATTCTAGCAGAAATGACTGTGAAGTGATCATACACTTGCTAATGCAAATGAAGCCTTTTTATAGTTTCTTCTTTTGCCAACTTTGAGAAACCAGCATGTGAAAATAGCCATCTTTCAGTATAGGGAAAGTTAATTTGTCTTGCTATGACAGATTTGTAGTCTGTATTTGGTCTTAGAATTAATATTCCGTCTTATAGGTTAAATAGTATATGTTTTTACAGTAAGCATGCTGAATTCAAATGTTTCAATATAACATTTTCATCTTAGAAAAATCATTTTTCTTCAACTATATGTTTGTCTTAAGTTCTGAATTGGTTGCTGAACTTCTTCCTTATAATCTTTGTCTTGAACGTGTTCCAGACTATAAGATGAAAAATAAATAAAAAGCCCTTATCATATAATTCTTTTAATTAACTTGTGCTTGGATAGGTCTTACTACAAATCCTGAATTGAGATTTCCTCCTGTATTTAAGAACAGCTTCTAACCTGGACCAATGGAAATCATTTCTTGTGTAACTGAGGTATCTAAATTAGTGGTTTCTGAAAAAATATAGTATCTAATGATCAAATGGTTCTGATGATAGCTTTTCTTTTTCTCCTGGGATCTTTTCCAGTGTAGTCTTCTCTCTGTTTCTAGCTTTGCTTTTAAAAGAAATTTTCTATCTGAGGCTCTAAATTTCCCTAGCTGTGGATTTTAAAAATGCCTTGCTTCTTTGTACTAAGCTTCCTCGAAATGCTGATGATATCAACATTTGCTGATGATATCCTCATGACATCAGCAACATTCAGGGAATGTTAGTAGTCTGTGATTTGCACTTTCCCTTTCCTTGGATGAGGCATTCCTCATCGGGCACCTCTGAAGAGCTGGAGCACCTGCTGCTCTGTGGCCACTTGAGCAGCTCACACGGGAGTGGTTGTCACAGAATCACAGAATATTCTGAGCAATACTGGAAGGGACCCACAAGGATCATCAAATCCAACTCTTAAATGAACAACCTGTACAGGGATTGAGCTCATGACCTTGGTGTTATTAGCAACGTGCTCTGATCAGCTGAGCTAATCTTGTGTCAGTCCAGGCAGTTCTTGGAAATGGGGAAAAGGGGAAATAGGGTAACTGCAAGGGCTCTTGGAAAGTGCTGATGGGTAGAGCTGGAGAATGAAACAAGGTGTTCACCCCATTACAGACATTATTTGTTGTGCTGGTGGTGATTTTATCTGGAGAATAAAGCATTGCTGTCTTTAGACTTCCTAAAATTTTGGAAGTCTGCAGTTGGAAGGGATTTTTGATACCCTGTAGCCCTCTTATTTGAAGCTGCCTCATCAACTGGACTGGTGAACCAATGATAAGATATTAAAAGTTGTTACTTAACAGTATTCATAGAAAGTGACAGACATTGACTCCTGGTGTCACAGATTCAAGGTAACTTTTTCTTCTATGGAATAAATCTTGTAACATAGTTAAGGTAATTCTGCAGCTGTGGACAGGAATTCTGGCTCAAATGCAGAGGAGAGGAAAGAAGGGTTAGTTCAGATTTTTTTGGTTTTGTGGGGGTTTTTTTGTTTGGGTTTTTGAAGAGATTTTGAGCTTATTTTCCCCCCGTTATGGTTGAAAATGAGAGATTAGATGCAGAATCTTGAACACATTCATCACTAGGACAAGTCACCCTATAGCAACGTTTTTACATTTGAATAGTAGTATTGGGAATAAGGACTTTAATGTGGTTTAATTGCTAAGTTTGAGTTGTTTCCTAACTCTGTTGTTATTTTACCTGTTATCTTTGCTTCTATGCCCTATTTGACATTCTTTTGGAAACTGACTACTAGGTAAATTCTTCTTTACTGAACTTGAAAGCTTTTAAATAAATTTCTCTTGTTACAGGTCATCTGGTGTTTTTTTTTAGTGATGTGGTGTATCACAATTCTTGAGAAACAGCTTTCTAAACTCTCATGGTATATACTTTACCCAAAAAAAAACCCTCTGCAGACATTGTTTGCTACCTTTATAAAATCTATACTTTTTTATGGTGAAAAACCCAAAATCTTCATCATAACTTTATTAAATAGGTTGGTGGCTTGTAAAAAAGTTATTATATTTATTTCAAAACCTTGAATCTGTAAAACTAGAAGTATTTCAAAAGCAAATTCTTTTATAATATCTGTTAAGATGGAGGTTGAAAGGTTTTTTCCTGAAACAGATAATACAACATGAGTAATTTCAGGTGTCCCCAAGAAGCTGTCCAATGTGTCAGTCTTGAAACTTGATATGTGTTGAAGATTGAAGTTGTTTTTATTAAATATTTAACATCCTAGAAGTTTTTCTAAATGACCATTTTTGAAAATACTCATCAATTTTTCCAATGTGGCCTTATTCTGTAATAGTTTATTCAATTTATAATCTGAAATCTTTTTGAAGGTGTGTTGAAAAATAGAATACCAAGAGATTTAAGTAATCTGTGGAGGACTATGTGATTTCATGGTATTTGACTGTCAAATGTGTATTTATCTATTTAGGTTCAAACAAAGAAGGAAGAAACTTTGCCACCACCACATAGTCAAAACATTCCAACTTTTTATTTTCCTCGAGGATGTCCTAAGGAAAAAGTAAATATAGATGCTGTGATTGCCAAAATTGAGAAAACTTTTTCTGAATTTCCGAATGAGAGGGCAACATTAGAAGACATGGGTAAGGTTGCAAAGGTGAGAGCTTGCTGGCCATCTTCTTTTTGCACTGTACTCCTGTGGAAAGGAAAGATGAGTTCTGTGTGCTTGCTTTTCTTGTATTGTGTGTTTCCATCTCCCACACATTAGTATTTAATGATATTTTACATTGTTGATAGTAAAATAGTTATGATATTTTAAATGATGAATTATATTAAGATTATATAAGATTAAATTATGATATAGTAAAATAGTAATGATATTTTACATTGTTAATAGTTATGTGGAAGTTTCTGCATTAGCTATCTATCAAATGACCTTATAAAAAGAAACAAAACATTACAACAAAACTTGAACTACTTTTTTTGCTACGTAAGTAACCAAATACTAAAGAACAACATTGTATGTTGTTCTCCATTCCAGATTGACCAAGAGAGTTAATGCAAAAGCACTCCTAATATATGTTTTGTTTTCAGATATTCACACAGGTTGGAGTTTTTTCCTCATTCTGCTAAACCTCCATTGCAAAGACACTGGTAAAGACAGCATGGTTTGGTAACTTGAGATTATAGCTCTCAAGTTATTCCTGAAGAAATACTTTAGAGTTATGGCAGAGTGACAAAATACTTAGCTTAGAAAACAGCAAATATTTTTTAAACTTCTCTGTAAATTTAAAGACAATAAGCTAGTTAAAATGGACTTAAATTTCCATTTTTTTATATTGAATTAATGCTTGAAATCTCACTGCAAGTCATGATCTTGCTAATGAGTCTCAGGTTCTCATCCATGTTCCTGTCACTTTGTCCAGGGTCTGGAAAATAGAAACTGTGACTGCTCACAAGAGCAGGACTGGGAGTTTGCCTCACCAAAACTTTTTTACTGCTAAGCTGAATGATAGGATCCCAGTCTTCCACAGGTCCTTCCAACATAGAAGTACATAGAAGTAAGGAGGTAGGGAAGAGACCCTTCTCTCTCAGCAAGGAAGCTGAAAGGGTCCAGTCACCTGTTATTCAGTGATGAGGACAGTGTTCATCACAACCACTTCTTTTATTCTGTTTGAAGTACTAGTTAAGCTATGGCATGAGAAGTAATTGTACTTTTGCTCCAGTGACCTTACACATCTTGCAGTATTCAGTGTTTTTGGAGATCCTTGGGGATGCCAGCATGTCTGACTGCTCCCAGCTGGAGTCTGTTTTAGGCAGGCTGGGCTCTTGGCTGTTACAGCTGCAGACACTTGGGCTTTAGGTGCTTGTGCTTACACTGGAGTTGGGAATGTGTAGCTGTTGAGTACCCTAAAGCAAGATCCTGCTGCTCAGGGCAGGCTGGCCTGCTACTTAAAATTGGATACAGGATGTGCCATGCACATGCAAAGGATGCAGATGAGTTGAGCCATCTTCTGAGCCAGACAAATGTCAATTTGCTCCAGTTCACAGGGTCTGTAAGTGTGCTGTCTTGAGCTTAGCTTAAAGACATCCAGCTCTTGAAGTGGAGCTTCAGATGGACTCTGTTCAGCTGCTTGGAGCATGGACAGACAGCCACGTGACTCACTGTGTTAGTCTGTTAGGAATGCTACAAGTTTCCCTGTGTTTTGCTCTCCACTTTTGGATTTCAGCCTAAAGTTGCTTTAAATAGATTATTTCAGGACGTGAAGCTGGTTTCAGAGACTGATTTTTAAAAAATTCTCTTCCCTAATGCTTTTTTCTTAACACTTGTAAATTTTGAAGGATCCATAAATAGAAGAGTAGCCCTCAGATAAGCAATCAATAAACTGACTTGATGTATACTTTACTTGTAGGCTTGTGAATGCCCACTGTACTGGAAAGGTCCTTTGTTTTATTGTGCTGGAGGTGAACGAACAGGATACGTGTCAGTTCATAAATTTGTTGCAATGTGGCGGAAGTAAGTAGATTACTGTTTTTAGAAGTACTGCATTTTTTTGCATTGAAATGTGATATTTTAAGTTCTGAATGTGATCTTGTCTTGTAAAGGGGAATAAAACACTTTCCCATAATCAGCTGTTGTCAGCAAGCTTGTACATGGGAAAATGTAACTAAATAATACTTTAATATAAACAAATCTTCATTTACAGGGTTTATAGATTTTAAAATGTTTGGGTAAATGACAATTCATGAGAAGTGACAACCATGGCCCTTACTTGTAGATGCTAGTTCTGAGCAATGTGCTTTTTATTTTTAGCTCTTTTCTAATTTTAACTTTAAATTGTCCTTTCATGTAATCAATTACATGGTGTACCCACCTCCTTTAACATCAATTTAAGAGACACTTCTGCTTTGATAAGTTCACTTGGAGCATGGTTTGACATTTGTAATGACCTTTTTAATAAATATTGTTTCATAGGCCTTGCTCTAGGTTGCCTGCATGAGGTAGCATGAGCAATTTTCTGTGTAGAATACTAAATAGAAATATTTCCATTTCAGAGTACTTCAGACCTGCTATGATGATGCTGCGAAGTTTGTTCATCTTCTGATGAACCCTGGATGTAACTACTTGGTGCAAGAAGACTTCATTCCTTTCTTACAAGTAAGTTGCAGTTGAAACTATTTCTAGAACACCACAAAATGATGAATGGCAAAGCCCTGAGTTGCTTGAACTAAACATACTTTTTCATAGTCATCATTAAAGTTTATTGATAATATTTAGTGCAACTGACTTTGCATGATCCACTAAGATGCTAGTGACTTGTTTTACAGTTAATAATTTTGCATAAGGTGAGGTGTTTTTTAAGCACCCTGGAAAGATTTAAAATCAATTGTAGGAATAACATATGTATTGGAATCTTTGATGTTTCATAAGTCAGTTAAAGTTATTTAAGTCAGGTAGCCCTTTGGAGGGCAAAGGAGAAGTGGGATATGAATTCAAACCTAGTGTATCTTTGTTGGAAGAGCAGCAAACACCACCTATGGAAATGACTGAATAAAACCTGAATTGACTTCACTGAATCATAGACACAGAATTACAAGCTAGGACAGTCAGCAGTGTTCAAAATCCTCAGCTTATCTAAAATACAGGAAAAAAAATCCTATTAAAATATTTCTAAAATAACAGGAAAGCTTTTGTTTATCCAATATATTTAAAAGATAATTTTATTTTTAAAAGGTTTGTAATGTGATTTGTCTGAAGCCTTGGTGAAAATGTAGTTCTCAGTAATGATTGTGGTAGTTAGTTTAAACAGTTTTGGTTAAGGAATAGCAGGTGTGCTATTCTTTGCTAATTGTCTTAAATGGATACTAATGAATGCTCCTTGTGATATTGTTTTTGTAGGATGTGGTGAATAGTCATCCAGGCCTTTTATTTTTAAAAGAAGCATCTGAATTCCATTCTCGGTATATTACAACAGTAAGTGATTTGTATCTGGAAAAGCTATTTTTTGGTTAACTAAGGAAATCAAGATTAGTCAAATGTCTCTAAGCATCTTTGTCCCATGGGAAGAGTAGAGTTAGAGCAGGCTGTAAGTCTTCATTTCTACATAACTAGAAATTTTGTGGAAAAGGAGTCTTTCTTAGGCCTGATAGTTCTCAACATTTTTAAGGAATTGCTGAATTTAATACTAGTAAGAGAAGCAGTGAATTGTAATAGTGTTGGATAAGTTAATGAGCATTAAATGAAGAGCAGGCTGTTATCTTAAACTCTTGATTGTGGCTGTAGACTGCATTCATTAGAATCCTGACCTTAGTCTGGGATTAATTAAGTGAAGTCTTGAATGAAACATCTATATTAATATGATTATGTTCAGTATTAAGTGAAATAATGATAATATTGAAGCTGCTTGCCACTTGTCTCTCTGGGGACTTTTCTTCCAAGGAAGGTTTTTATACATGAAAAGTTCAATTCCTGTCTTCCCAGGGTTATGTGACTGAAGTATTTGTTCTGTACCCAAGGGAGAAATCGGTGACATTAAATTTGCTCAACTGAGGACTAGACAGTCGATTCCACTGAAGTCTCAAAAGATTAAAGTTCTTCAAAATGACATTCAGTTCACTTTCTTTGTGCATGTGAAAACTAGCTTAATGAATATTCTCCAAGAAAAAAAAAAACATGCAGTGTTGATCATCTTATATCCATCTTACACTTTGACCCAGGTTAAAATTGTGGAAGGTTTTTTTTTGAGAGCATTTGGGTTTTGTTCGTTACATCCTTCTTACAGAGACTTGCTGGCCTATCAAGTATGTCCTGCTGCATTAGGTTTTGCTTCTTGTTATAATGATTACCTGAGCTCACAGAACTTTCCTGTCAGTTGTGATTGAAGGAATTGTTCTGCCTGTGAGTTGTTTTGTTTCTTCGTGGATTCTTGGTTGTGTCACAGCCTGCTCTGGTTAAAATTGTGAAAGCTTGCTGCATGACCTGAAAAAGAGTAGGAAAGAAAAGGTCCTGCCATGTCCACTTACTTTTCTTTGGAGGAACAGCTAATTGGAGAAAGTTTAGCAATATTGAATAAATCATTACTGGAAGTATTTTATTAACAAAATTCAGAATATTCTGAGTTGGAAGGGACCCATAAGAATCAAGTCTAACTCTTAAGTGAACAATCCATACAGGGGTCAAACCCACAACCTTGACATTATTTGCACCATGCTTTGACCACTGTGCTTGTTACAGTCTTCCAAAATTGTCCTGCAAGTTATTAATGATAATAGATTATTTTACCTATAGTGAAAGAAGCCATTTCATACCTGTATTCAGTTAGCTTAACCTTGCTACATGAAGCTTCATCTAAAGGATACATCCAGCTGCAAACCAAAATAGCCATTCTGCTGGGTTTTTGTATATACCTACACATATGTATGTGTGTATGCATGCACATTACATACATCTCTTTAGCACTTGTTGTGTAAGCCATGAAAGCAATCTGGTCTGTCTCCTAAGATATGTTATAGGTTTGTTGGTCAATCCAGTTATATATGGCCAAGATAGAGCTGAAATAAGTTAAGAATGAGACTTATTTTTAAGTCTCAATAAGATACTACATTTAACAAATGTACAGATAAGATGCTACATTTATTCTTCCAGGATGTTAGGTGCGTATCTGAACTATGAGTTCTTGAAATTGTAGTCTCTGTATTGCAGCGTTTCTTCTCCCTTCTAACAAAGCACTCTGTAGAATAATAAAGTCAATTCTCTGACAATTTGCTTACACTCTGCACTCAGTTTACTTTAGAAAACAGTTTAAGTTTGTTCCCAGTTGTCTTTACCAAACATTGAATTATGTTTTTATTTTTAGAGCAGTTAAATGTATAACAGATGAGATAATGACATGCAGATGGATTAAGTTGCAAAGCTAAGGCAAAAATCTTTTTAGAAAAAATTGCTTTGTAGTGTAAGCCAAAAAATGGGCCTTCCCTAAATTCACAATTAGAATTAATTAAGTTTCAGAAGCAGGATAATCTATTCTTCTGTCTGGAGTCATTGAACCAGCTGTTCTTGTTCGAAGTGAGAACTGAGGAGCTTGCTGCTTTACAGTTTAAGTTTTCTTTCAAAACTTCATCAGTGCATTATTCTTCTATTTATAATTTTAAAATGATTGGTTAGTTTAAACTATTGATTTACTACAGTTGAAGTCTGAAGTGATAAAAAGCTTAGCCTGTAGCTGGGAGGACATATTAATTGCAGGAAAGGGATTCCTAAGGAGAGGGGATTTTAGGTAGTACCTGCTCTCTTGCAAGTGAAGCGCTGCACATGCATTACTGAGTCTTGCCAGTTAGCAGGTATAATCAATCACCAGTTGAGCAGTTATAGCTCATAATATGCTTGGGGTGTTTTGGGGGTTTTTTTTGGTTTTGTTTAGTGGTGAATGACTGACTTGAAATGTACACCTGGTTGTCTTAAGTCAAACTAATTGAGGTGAATACTGAATTCAGTTAAGTAGCAGAAAAAAGATATTTTGAAGTCATATTTCAAGTCTTTAGTTTGTAAACTAAATTTTTGAAAATTATAGCGAATGCGTGAGTTGCCCAAAATAGCCATAGAACCATTAGTTTGGAAAAGACCTGTAAGATCATTGAGTTGAAGTACGTGTAAAATTTATTTTTAAAAATGTGTAGAGTACTCATATGGATGTATTTGTTTCTGGTTCCAGTATCAGTCATGGCACAAGGATTAGTTGCCTTTCTTGCATAGATTATTTTTTTTTTGTTCTTCACTTGGAAAATATTAATGTACTTTTAATGTTATTAACAGGTTTTTTTCCAAGGAACTTCCAAATAGAATGAACTTAAATGGGGAAAAAATTCTCCTTGCACCTGCAGGAAATATTTCTGTCAGATGTAGATTTGTTGTGTTTGTAGACTTCAGAAGTAGCAACATCTGCTGTAGTCTAATTCTTAAGCAGTCCCAATTCTATTTCTGTAAAATCAGTTATGAAGTAAAACAGTCTCACAGCAAATGCAAGTCTTTAAATCTGAAGTAATAAGATATATTAATAGGTTTATTTGATTATATCCTGATTAGATCTGGAAGACTTGAGGTAGTGAAATTGCCAATATACATATTTTGGATAGCATATAAATATTCTGCAACATTACTGAGTGAGATATAGGTACTGCAACATTGAAATAAAACTTATCTAGATTAGTTTAGATATAGATTTAGAAATTATTTGAATAGTGGATAATATGACACAAGAGACGTTCTAACTAATGAGAACAATAGAATTAGGGGAAACATGGAGCTCTGTAATGCAGCTGTACTAAAACATCCTTGAGAAATATTTGCATGGGTATTTAATTACCATAGCTAAAGTTTCTTTCCATTTTCTCTTTCTTGCAGGTCATACAGAGAATATTTTATACAGTAAATAGGTCCTGGTCTGGGAAAATAACTTGTAATGAACTCAGGAAAAGCAACTTTTTGCAGGTTTGTAATATCTAAAATTTTGCAAGACAGATATTTCTGGAAGTTTTAAAAAACTGCATTAACTAAAGGCTTAAGGGAGTAACATAAATAGCATTTCTTCCTTTTCCAAAAAGTAATGAAGACCCAATTGCATTAATTCTCATACATTAGAATATGTTTAAATGTAACTTTTTCTATCTGGAGCTGTATACATGTAAATGTGTAGCAGAAGTTGGTCTGATCTGTTCATTCTTTTGTGAATGCATTCATTTTCTGCCACGTGTTCAGTTTTGCTGTCACACTGTATGGTGTCCATTGTCCCTGAAAACAAAAATTGTTCCACTGAAATAGCATTAGATATTAACTTAGTTATGAGAAATCAGACCATTCAAAAATAAATGTCTTACAAACTCTTTAATATGTTCTGTTTGTCCTTCTGATAACAGAATGTGGCATTATTGGAAGAGGAAGCTGATATTAACCAGCTGACAGAGTACTTCTCATATGAACATTTTTATGTTATCTATTGCAAATTTTGGGAGCTGGACACAGACCATGACCTCTATATTGATCGGAAGGATTTAGCTCGACATAATGATTATGGTATGACAAATGAAGCACCTTTGTTTACATGTATTAAATGACCTGTAAACTTTGAGCTGAGGAAGTGTTTTCATGCCAAGGACAGTTTCATGAGTCTGTTGGTGTAGCTGGTCCTGCTGACTCAGTAAACTAAAGCAGGACAAGTCATCTGTGATGCTACTGATACCACATTTACAAATACCACATTTGAGGAAAATTCTGAATTTGAATTCTGATCTTGACAAAGAAGTAGGGCAAATATCACTTATGTGTTGGTGTATTATAAATGGTTTTATTTGGAAATTTTGGGTTGTTATCTTGGACAAAGTCCATTTTACTGATATTACTCAAGGAGCATTACTTTTATGGCAAGATATGGAAAGAGTAGAAAAGGCAAACATACCTTCAGGTACTTGGCTTATTTGGGGTTTTGCTAACTCAGCTGCAGTGTGTTTTGCTTTAATACTGTTAAGCACTACTTAGCAGGTTTACATTTGCTGCATGTACAATATGTAATGACTGTGATTCTATAGTCTTGCATGCTTGTTCCTATTTTAAATATTCTTGTAGCTTGTATGGAACTGTTGGGGCTCTTTTTAGGTCCTTGTGTCCATCTTCATAGTGTTCCTTTCAGGACTGGAAAGCTTACCTAAGCACAAAGTGATTATGGAGTATTATCCCACATTAAAAAGGATAAACACAATTCTGATTGCTTCTCAAAATTTGCCTACTAAAGTTTGACTGTGCTTTAGGACAGTGAGAAAGGAAAACTGCTTTCATTTGAGTGGCTGTTCTATTAAGTTAGTACATTTTAGGAAGAAAGCACAACTAATACACACAACTAATAATTGCAGTGCCACCTGCAATTTAATTTTGCAAATTCTTAATGATAAATTGAAATCCTTTACAAAAGAAGTGCTTAGTTCAGACATGTCTGTAAAATCCCTGAAATGGTTTCAAAATAGAAGCATGGATCAAAACCACGTCAAAAATAGACCCCCGTCAGAATCAGTAAGGTATGTTTATTATGTGTGATCGTGCCAGTTCTGGTTTGGCTCTTTGCCAAGGTCATGTAAAACTTACTGCCACTGGAAAACATGATTTACTTGTCAAAGAAGTGGGAAATGCAGTTTTATTAATCAGCCAATTTTATTACTTGTATTGCAATTTGATTACTATTTCTGCATTAAGTTTGCATTCAAAGCTGGGTGGTTGTAGTTTTGCTTTGAGGCTTTGTGTTAAGTGATCCTCTCTAAAAGACCTTAAAGAGATTAATGAGCACTACCCCTGATCGTTCTCACTGATCTGTGTATGTAAGAGGAGAGTTCCAGTAAACTCTTCAACAACAGGATACATGCAAAAATAACTTGCATAGAGTTGACACTGTTTCAAACTTTTCTTCACAGCAATTTCAAATAGGATGATAGAGCGCATCTTCTCAGGAGCAGTAACAAGGTACTTGTTTTGTATGCTGGTCTAAATCCCATTTCATTTTTGCTTGTTAAATTCAGTGGTATTCCAAGGGAAAAAGATGACTCCCCTCACAAAGGAGCAGTGAATTTCAAGATAAGATTTGTAGTTCAAATTCTAGTAGTACTAGAGTGGTCTTGGAACCTTTGGTACGGTTCAAGTTCTTCACTCTCTTTACCCATATGAACATGGGCCACTGGGTATTGTATGATGGGAATGAAGAAGGAAGAAATAATTCTTTTTCCATCCCTCAAACCTGTAAAATGTGTGAGGAGAACTGAGCTTTTAAGCACTAATTGTAAAATCAATGCTTATTGCATCAATAAATTTAGAAGAATGCCTCCAGTTGAGTTAGTTCACATTTTTGACAGTCATTCTTCATTTCTCCCCTTGGGATTGACTTCCTCTTTTGTATTTATGGCATTTCATTAATTTTTGAAATGTTTCCTAGCACAATATCTGAGATAAAAAGCAACCGATCAACAGAAATAAAAGCTGAAATAAGAGACTTACCAGGAATATGTCTAGAGCTTACTCCTTTATCTGAGTTTCATGGGCAAGACAAAAACATATACCATATTTTTCCAGACATCTTGAAGTTAAAACATCAAAAAATGAATTTCATTATTGAAATGTAATGTCTAGGAACTGCCTACCTGACTTTTTACTAGACTGGTTGACTGTGTGCAACTTACTTGGTTCCTGCATTTATGAGAGTAGAAACAGACAATTATGTTCTTGCCATGGACATTTACTTCCTGAAGATTTCTGTTTCATTTTTATCTTCATATTTTCATTCCAAAACTTTTAGCTAGTGGAGTTCTGTAAAGCTTTTAAGTTCTCATCCCTTCTACCTGAATAGAAATTTTTAAAAGCCTCTGTACTTGTAGATAATATATCATCAAAAATTTTTGAGATGGCTCTTCTGTTAACTATTTAGCACCTTATGAACACTGGATCATTTAGGAGTAAATAGTTAATACCAACAAGAAAATAATCCTTAATTTTGCTTAGTAAAAGCTAGGTTTTCTAAAATAAATTTTCTATCTTTTTCCTCATTGGCCTCCAAGAGGTAGAAAAGCACAAAAAGATGGGAAGATTAGCTACGCTGATTTTGTCTGGTTTTTGATATCTGAAGAGGACAAGAAAACACCAACTAGGTAAGAATGAATTTGTTTCAGCAGAAATAAAGACTGATTTTGTTTTTCCAGTCCTTAAATGGGGACCACTGATAAACAGCTGCAACTCTAATGGAAGAAGCTTATACTATAAAAACATGAGTGGAAATGTGGCCCAGTTCTTTGCATCATCTGTGTTTATCAGTGTCTCCTGCTGTAGCTGTAGAAGTCTAATTTATTGACTTTTAAGAGGCTAATTCAGTGTTATTGTTTCATAAGTTGTGTGTGGCCTATTTATAAACAGGGCCATAGGTTAAGGATGTTGCAGCTGTTTCATGATGCCAGTGATTCTGGGAAGCTGTGCAGCTCCTGTATGGTACTGATGAGAAACCTATCATGTGACATGTCACTAGCTTGTTTAGTATGGGAACATGCCCAAAATACTGAAGTTGTCATGTACAATTCAATTTTCCATTGTCTCCCTTGATTTTCTTTTTTAATGTAAAACTATGTGTTTTAGTCTTCTCCTACATACCATTAACACATGTGTTTTCAAATGCAATAATGGATGGTGTAGCAAATACCAGCAACTCTTACCACAGTAGCTGGTGTTCAATACCTTTCCATGGATTAGTGGAATGTACTCTTAAATCTAGTTTTGCCTTTGAAACAGGCAACATGAATTCTTGAAAATCTGTAGTAAGTTTGTCTCTGCTGTTAATGACTGAATTCCAGCATTGAATACTGGTTCCGCTGCATGGATCTTGATGGTGATGGTGCTTTGTCTATGTATGAATTGGAATATTTTTATGAAGAACAGTGCCAAAAATTAGAAAACATGGCCATAGAACCTTTGCCTTTTGAAGACTGCCTGTGCCAGATGCTGGATCTTGTAAAGCCACAACATGAAGGTAATAAACTCCTTTTCCATCTTGTTTCTCTGGACTTAGTGCAGTCTTAAGAGCACTCAGTTGGTCATACAAACAAAATGCCTTGAGGTTGTCTTTTCACTGACATCTGTTAAAGCTTAATAATTGATTGGTCATCCAACAGCAGGCAGGCATTCTTTCCATACAAAAATTTAATATGCTGCTTTAAAATTCCTTGTCAGCTTTCATTTTGTGATTGTAGCCACATTTTGCCTTGAGTAAAACCTTGTCACTATCTAGCTGAGGTGAAGCTCTCAGGAAAACCTCTTGATGGTTCACCCATTTCTCACCTCTTCCAGTGCTCATTTGAGCTTCTCTGGAGGGAACAGTTTCTAAACCGTGTTTGTCTCTTAGACCAGTATTGACTTCGGTTACACTGGAAGCCTAAGTTGCCCTTAGGAAATTCATGACAAGGGGATTAAAATTAACAGAATAATGAACTTTTCTGAGTTTTTGGCTATTTTTCACATTTGAACTTTCCTTGACCTGCATTCTACTCTCCTGCATTTGACATGGTATCATCTTTCGCTGATAGAACTTCAGTTTACCTTTTACACTTGAGAAAAACTTAAGAATACAATTATGGTTAGACAACCAAGTAAGTCAGGTTTATTGCCCACTTTCTTTCTAGTATTAAGAATATTTAAATTACAAGAAATTTAATTTTTTTAAGACACTTGTCATTTATTGAGATGGGATTTTTTGCATGCTGAGGGAATTGAAATGGCTCAAAATTAGAACATAAAGCTTGATATTCTTATTTAAACAAGTTAAAATGGATTTGCTTAGTGAAATCACATCACTAAAGGCAGATAAAAATTGTAAATGAAGAAGGAATATTAAGTGTGATTCATCTGAAAGCTCCATCCCTGATATCAATGGAATGAAGTCTTAGACCAACATTGTGTAATGCATGGGGGCTAGGGGGCATTTAAAATGAAGTGAACCGAGCTCTGAGAAACACATTTATGTTTTATGGTTGCTCACAATCACCTCCTGAACTCAGTAGCTCCTTTCCAGTTTTATGTTATGCTTCTGAAAGGCTTTTATAATATTTATGTTCTACATTTGAAATGAAACAAGATAGATGAGATACATCAATGTCATGAGGATGATAAAAGAAGACTATCAAACACAACCAAGATGAGTTATTCAGGGTAACAAAAATGAAAGCCAGTTAAGAAGGGTTGATTTTTTTTTTTTTTTTTTTAGTATAAACTGAATCATGTTTAAAAGGTGGATTAAGAAAAAAGTCTGATTTTCTAATACAAAAACTAGCAGCATAACTGATGTTTCACTTTGTAGCTTCGAAACAAAAGAAGACACTTTCATAAAGTTATGGCTAAACTGTGATACATTTTCTATAGAATGCTCTGTGTGCAAAAAAGCAAACTTGAATTTCTGGAGACCTGAATTAATTACTTAAATTTTACTCCTGTTTTGTTGGTGTTTGAGAGACAGTGGTAGGCATCTACACAAGTGTTGCGTGTCTAAGCTCCCATTGCAATAAATGGAAACTGGAGAGCAAATCAATGAACCAAACATAGGAGTCTAACTTAAACTGGGAGCTTATGTAACTAGGATTCAAATCATTTGCTTGCTTGTGGAGAGCTGCTGCCATTTGAAATGGCTCTGTGCACCAGCCATCTGTGTGGGTCTGACAGATAGGGCACAGGTGCCACGGGGGATTTGTGTCCTCCTGCAGCACCAGTGACAAGCCAGCAGAACACACTGGGGCCCTTCGTGACAGATGCAAGCATGGCAGCCATGTACAAATGGGACTTGGATTTTGCTTCCCTGTGATGTCCTTGAGTTACACTTTGTTAGAGGCTGGGACAGTACGCTGAGGAAATACTGTTCCAAGTCTGGCTTTTATTGAACTCATGTTCCATAACATCTTCAGTTAGTTGCTATTTGATTAACAATGGAAGATTGTCTGTATTCCAGGTGAATCAATAAAGGGGAGTTGTAAGGATAGTCGTCTGTCTTCCCTTGTGTATCTCATATTTTTTAGCCTTTCTGCAGAAGCTTCAATATTCAGCTTTGAAACAGGGTAACATTTCTGAGCAACCTGACAAATGCTTCTAATGCTTAACACATCCATTGATTTGAGTCTTTAAAGTATCACACTATAAAAATCAAACAAAACACCTTTGAGCATTTAGCTTTCCTCTCAAGTAGTAAATATTGATCAGACTGGACAAGTGTGGCAACCTTGACTCTATGAAAAATTCATCTGCATGAAGCATAGTCACACACTGTCATGTCTGTCATACATTTATCTGCTCAAGTCAGGGAAGAGAGAGGGCTGCTGCCATAGGAGATTCCTACCTGCTACCCAAGCACTCCTTGGGAAGGAATGGCTAACTCACTAGAGACTTCTGTCTTTGAGGAAGCTTAAACAAATACCTTAAATGATTTTTAATAGCTGAGGGATGTAGACTGCATCTCACTTCAACATTCTGACAGGCTGTGGGATACAACAACCACAGCAAGGAAAAAAATCTGAACCATTTCAAGTTTTGTACACTTTGAAGGGCACATCTCTAGGTATGTATTTCATCTGTTTGCATCTCTCCCATTGCATTGAGGATCAGTGACAAATGTTGCTAAGCAGTGATGACTGAGTAATGATAAAGTACCTTTTGATTCCTCCACTTTTGAGATCTAATAATTTTCTCTCTAATAATCTTATCTCATAATCTTCTTTACAGGAAAAATTACTCTGCATGATTTAAAGCGATGTAAGCTGACAAATGTGTTCTTTGATACTTTTTTCAACATTGAAAAATACCTTGACCATGAACAGAAGGATCAGTTCTCTATGTTGCGGGTGAGTAGAATTGCCAAACTACATGCTTGGCAATTAGTACTGTTTATATTAATGAATTAATACTGTTTTGCCTAACATGCAACATGATTGTTTAGGATGGTGAAGGTGAAAGTCAAGAGGTCTCTGACTGGGAGAAATATGCTGCTGAAGAGTATGATATCTTGGTAGCAGAAGAGGCAGCAAGTGAGCAGTGGAACGACGGGTAAGAATGCAGCAGGACAGTTAATATGAATCCTCTCTACTAAAGTACAGCCTCACCACCACTATCATTTATTTAAAAAAGAATAAACACTTCCTTCCCAAAACTCTTATTCTAGAATATGCATCTTTTTATAAGCCCTTGTTTTTAAATTTGTAACTTGGTGAATTGAACCTTCAGATGACTTTTGTTTTCTGTTTAAATTGGTGGTGAACTCATGGGAGAAACTCAAGGTGCTGCTCTATTTTAGTGTGCACAGTGGAGTCTTAGTATTTAACTACTTTGTGCTATGTCTTTCTCTGAAAGAACAGCTGATGAGCACACAATGCCTTTATAAAGCAGTTTTAAAGAACAAAAACGCAGTATCTAAAGCTCATTCTCTGCACAGTCCTGTGAAGTAAAAACATGATGAAATTCAGTAGTAGTTGGGAAGACATGCATGAATGTGAGTCACTCTAACCCAGGACCTGGTCAGTGGAGCAGTGTGTCAGTGTGTGCTTTGAATTCTTTCAGTAGAGCTGCATTTCATACTGGGAAGTTCAGCATGTGATAGGAGAGAAAGCTAACTTAAATTCAGGGAATTATTACAGAACCCTGGTGCTGTTGTGGTTATGCTTATTATAAAATGTTGGGAAGTATGTTTTTCCTGCAGCTGCCTTGTTAGTGTTCCAACATTTAGGCACTTCTTGGCATAGTTAGACTCTTTCATTTTCTTTTTTTTCTTTTTTTTCTTCTTTTTTTTTCTTTCTGTCTGCTTCTAGGTATGAAGCAGAACTGAGTCCTGTAGACCATCAGAAGGCCAGTGTTCTAAAGTATCAAATGGAGAAAAGACCATTTTTTGAAATGCCTTCCCATCTGGCTGATGTAGACTTGGATGAATATGGCTATGATGAGGATTTTGAATAGAGGTTACTTGTGGTCAGCACTTGCAGAAGAGAAGGGACAGTCTGCAGCAGGTCTGCTACACACTGATACTTTTCAGTGGGGTTTTTTTCTCCACTGAAACATATCAATGGGAAAAGAAACACTTTCTTTAGTTTTGTGCTAAAAATATCTAATCACTACACTACCTTGTAAGCAAAAGAAGTGCATTTATATGGAATGATGAGATTTTTGTATTTATTCAATAGTTTATCGTTTGTAAAATAGATTGAAATATTTATTTTCAGATGTTGCATAATTCCTTTTTTGGAAGAATAACAATATTTGACTTAAGAGAAAAGTAATCTACTGTTTTTATGAGAACTGTATAATTCTCTTTAAGCTGATGTGTGGTGCACTGACCATCTCCATCTCACCTGTGAACAGGTATTTCTGTCCTGGTATGGGAGGCAAGGAGACAATTTACACCTGCAGTGTGCTCATGCTCATAGACAGCCCTCTTTTAGGTTTTATGCCTTGGCAAGGAAGAGATGTGACAATGAGTACACAGTTCAGCATTCATTTACAAGCAGAGTTTTGTCTGACAAGCTGTGCATATTAGTAGAATACACTAAAGTGAACACCCAAGACAAGTTTTCTTTTCTGTGTAGTCCTTGTTTGCCCCAACTTTAATTTTGCCCTTTTAAACTTCAGTTTTTTTGATGTTAATCATAAAAAGATTATTTAATAGTGAAGTCTGAGTGTTCATAGTTGATCCAAAATGGGTGTGTTAATTCATGCAGAAGGAACCAATTTTTTTTTTTAAATCCTTTGTATAAATGTTACTTGATCAGTGATGTGCACTAATTTGTTGTGGGCATTCAGTGCTTTTGTCTGTCCTCCCCTTTGCTTGTTTGCTATTGACACATTCCATGGATATTCATCAGTGTCACAGCAGCTTGAAATTGTTGCCTCACTTGTAAGTGTTAAACAGGTTTTGTTGGGAAAAAATGTACAAAAAGATGTAAGTTATTTTTTTGGTTGCAGTGTAGATCTTTTAAAATGTTTAGAAAACATGTTTGTATTTTCAAATACAGATTTTCGTACATGTAATTTCACAGATGTAATTTTTACATACTTCACACAATTCATGTCTTGCTAATAAAGAGCCGTTCACCACAGGATGGGTTACACAGGTATGCAGTCTGGTTGGGTAATTACAACAAGCTGCAGATGCAAAGCAATCAGCCTCTAGCAGGCTTTTCTTCATCCAAAAGAGTATTTGCTGAGCAGCCGGGAGAAACCTGTTGTGCTCAACTCCTCACACCACCTCCTGCACAAACCTACACACCTGTGTATGAAGAAACTCACTGCTGAAGTGCTGGTGAACCTCACTGAAGGAAACTCAAGTAATTGTAATACCATTTGAAGGATTTTGGTTAATTATTTCAGTTTTAATACAGACTCACCTATGTCAAATTTCTCCAGGGCTGGCTGGATCCCTTTCACTAAGTGCCCATGGTTTGGGGCTTATAAGCAGTAAAGATACACAGCATTTCTGTGATGCTCTGGTCCCTCAGGGAAAGGATGACCAACTGGCATTGCAGAAGGTGATCCTGAACATCTGTTACACTGCAAGAGATGCATTTTCCTACCTTAAAACTTTTCTCAAGAAGGGGGCTTGTTACTGGGCAGGAAACAGCCACAGACTTTCCCAGGATGCAGTGACACATCGGTCACACAGCACTATGGTGCAGGGTCAATCTCTTCTGCAGAGCCTGTAGCTGTTGTTGCCACTTTGTGTTTAATGAAGTGCCTGTCAAATCCTGCTCTCTATTATACTTTTGCTAACGAAGTCCTTTCCTAAGTAGAATGTATCCTGCTGTTTTCAGAGCAGTCCTTTTTCCTAAAATGAGTTTGAGGATTACTGGACCTTGCCTCTGCAGGGTAATTACCATCCCAATCCCACTGTAACAGAAATTAAAGTATCCATATGTTTGATGTGGGTCCAGGTATAACTGTTTTCCTAGTCAAGCTGTATTCTGCCTACCTGAGTAGGCAGAATACAGCTTGACTAGGAAAACAGTTTTAGGCCTAGATCCACAAATCATCCACAGATGGATGAGGGGAAACATCAGTAGCCCAGTCCAGGTAGGGGGAGTTACTGATGGAATCATAGAGGAACCTGAGAACCACCTCCCTTGTGTCAGCCTGCACACCATGCACAAGGAGAATCATGGATGCACTGTGGCCACTTCAGTGTACCCAATACCTGGGCAACAGTCATGGCTTTCACTTCCATCTTCATGGAAATTCCCTGCTCAGCCTGTGCAATAACACAACTGCAAAGGCCAGCTCACATTTGCTGCCATTCTTTCTCCATCACGGTGTGGGAGTATCACTTACACATTCAGTACTAATGGATAGCAATAGTTCTGTAGTTTATTTTACATAGTTGCAATCCAAAATATATATATATAAATATATAAAAAATAAAGCTGATATGATTACTGCAATGTACAATTCCAGGGAGCAGTGAGCAGGATCAGTGAAAGCAGCTCCCACTCCCCAGCCGACTGCCACTGAAACACTCGAGTGACCATCATTTGCAAATTCTTAATGCAAAAACCCTCTATTTATGAATGGCCATATTTACAGTCTATTTACACTGTCTTTCCAGGATTTTTCCAAGTAAACACCACATGATCACTATACAAAGGATTTCCAGAGGAAAATAGTCAGCTGGTCCGTTGTTTCTTTCTTTGTTACTCTGAAGCCTTGACACAGGTTTTCCAGGAACATGTCCTGATACTTACAGACCTCTAAACACATTGTTCTAAGCAATGGAATTCAGAAATACTTTCAGATGATTGATCCAGGTTTTCCATTTTACAGGCAGGAAATGGCACTTGCCATCAGCCAGCAGTCCCAGTGCTCACAGGTGGGCCAGGCTCTTTTCTCCCCTGCACTGGGTGCAAGGAAACACACAGATCTCCATTTGGTTATCTTAAACAGTAAAGAACAAGCCAGCAGAGCACTGGCCCCACATGCTGCGGACAGGCTTGTCTCACCTGGTTCACAGTGTCTTTGATTCAGTGTTTGTCAATACCCTGATTCCAATCCTGCAGCTGTGAGCTTTTCCAAGGCAGCATCAAGGATGAGGATGCAGCTGAGTAATGATGCTCAGAAGGCCCAACCCGGGAACTGCAGCAGCCACCTCAGTAATGCCCACAGCCAGCAATGGTGAGAAATCAACCACAGTGCTACAAGCTGGTTCTGGCTGGAGGCCTGTGGGCACAGAGACAACGTGACCCACGTCTCCTGCCACCTCAGTTGATGCTCTCACGTCACATTGATGAGTTAAACAACTTGCAGAAAAAACAGAGCGTGTGCTTCACTTCTGTTCATCCTCTCAGTGTTTTAACTGTCCTACATCACAAGAAAAAAGAGATTAAGTCAGTGCTCTCCTCTGAAGAAAATATCATGTAAGAGCCTATAAGGAATCAGAGTAACAGTGTAGCATCAAACCATTCAGCAACTTAGACATAGAGCCAGCTCTTATAAAGAGCTACAGCTTCCACAGAAGGAAAGAAGCATTTCCATACCCCAAAAAGCCCAGAAAAGGCACAACAGGAAAGGCACTATACTGCCTAAGTAGTGCAATTTCTGTATGGCTTTGATCTTTGTCCATGGAGTTAAATTCTTCTATTATCTTTGTTCAGTAGGAGCTGCTTTGAGTACATGGGCCAAACTGTCTACATTTTAACATGCATATAACTGAAAGAAAAGGTAGTCCTCTTTAAAAATTTAAGCCCACCATATGTTAAAAAAACCTTGGCTGAACTTTACAGCAAAAACTCATTTAAAAAGACAAAAATCATGCAAAGTCTGAATGTGGTGGTTAGATCCCAGATAACCAGTCACTGGAAATCAAGGAGTTGCCTGACTCACTGCAAAAATACTGTCTGCCAAACACTGAGTTATGTTCTGAAGTGCAGATAACAGGGAAAAACCTGAAGGAACTGCTCAGCCCCCTGTAGTGGCTGACACAGAAACATTTAGGGGGCAGAAGGGTTGTGATTAGCTACAGGATAAACCAAGGTGTTTCTCTCCCCTCCACCCCTTTCCTTGTACAGCCACTCCACAAGGCCCTGCTGTACAACATCCTGAGTCCTTGCACTGCGCTGGCCCACAGGGCTAAAAGTCCTTCCCTGCTGCAGTGACCAGGGCTGAGCTGAGGCCAGGCACACAGCTGTAGCTCTGCCAAACTTGGATCCCAAAGGCAATCAGTGCCCATGAGACAAGCCCCTGGCTATACTGGTTGCCACTCCAAGCCCACAATGTTCTCATGCTTCCCTTCAAATCCCCAGTTTGTTCAGGGACAATTTAATCTGCCCAACAGCCTTGATGAGAAAAAGGCAAGAAACATGGGATACTCCAGCAAGAGCCCAGGGCTGTCCAGTGATCAGACACATTCTGAGTCTTTCAATCCAAAGAGCACAATGCAAACACCATTTCTGAAGCAGATATTCCCTGCAGGCCACACAGCAGTGCCATCTCTGCAATGTGTCAGTAACGCGAAGCAACTGCAGCAAACGGCTCTTAACAAGGAAGCTTCAGAGTATGGGGAAAAAGAAAGGGGATCCTCCTCTTAATGCATCTTAAGTGACATTCAATCCTTACAAATGACCTAAGGATGTCTTGATACTACAATAAGGATTGCCTCTAAAATGTAGATTGAGCTGAAGGAGGAAACTACAGTTGCAGCTGGAAAGGGAAGAGGATATCCTCCTTTTCTCATCCTGAAAAGGGCCATAAAAGAGCAACCCCCTTTGCTGCTGCATGGCTACCCAGGAGACTCTGACCTAACACTGACCCACCTCAACTACAGCTGTCCTCAGAGCTGGAAAACCAGCCAGAATTACCTGGTCTGTACCAACAACATCAACATCTTCAATTGTGTCTTCTGGACCCTCCGCAGAGACATCTTCTGTCTTAACCTCATCTTTGCTGGAAAAGAAAAACAAACGAAAAAATAGCTAAGTCTTGAGATATCTCATAACAGAGGCTGCACATGGCAGGGTATTTCACATAGTAAGATCTGCTGCTGATATCGATGTAAGGTAGCATAAAGTTACTGGCCTAGGATTTCCCAGTATGAAACAGGTTATGCTCTGAGAAATTTTCAATAAAGCAGTTCAGAAACAAAACACTAATTTGAACAGGGGCTACCTTCATGTTTAATAATTTGTTCTATTTTACTTGTATTCTCCAGGTTCATTTAGAAAGTGTCCCAAAACCTGGAAAAGCATGCATCTTCCCAGGATTTGTGTTTCACCTTTTAACCTAGTACGTCAATAAATGAACTGAATTAAAGGAAAATACTTCAACTGAGCACTTTGATTGCTCAAAAGTAGACTCCAGACTCGCTATTTCTGCAACACCTCTCTCAGATCCAAGCTGTGTGGGGTTTCACTGTGGCATGTCTGCATGCTGCACACCAACACTTCTCTAAAAGAAAGCCACAGGGTACACAGTGGTCAACAGCAGATCTGCAGAGACAAGAATCCTCTTTCATTTCCAGAAATGCAGAAAACACTTATTGTGTGGCTGCAGCAACAGCCTGAGAGCAACCAGCACCACAGATCTCCAATCTGGACACGGGAAGTGGGACAGGGAACTTTCCTCCATCCTTGTCTTTTTCTCTGCACACCTGATAGTACTTCAAGAAAGTACAGAAGCCCTGTGACAGTGGCAGGAGAAAGCAGCAAATGTAGATACTGGACTGAGGAAACAAAAAAACCCAACCTGTCCTTGGGACACAGCCCATAAGACAGGAGGAGCACACACCCTGAGCTCATGTAGTATTACAAAAACCAGAAGGTGGACAGGGAGACCCCAAGTGTCAATGCCAGAACAGGTGGAGGAGCTTGTAAGACATCAAACTCTCACCAGTATCTTCTCCGCATCCCTCCTGGACAAAGGAATGGCAAACGTTCCTGCAAGTGCATCTCCTGAGATTTCAGCCTCTTTCTGCTTTTCCCTGCTGCAGAGGACAGCTGGGAAACACACTGCTGTTGTGGGGCTTTGCTTCCTGCCTCAATCTGGCTGGTTTCAGGCACAGACCCTGCAACAGAGAGCGAACACAGTCATTCTTCAGCCTCACCCTCAGAGGTCCCGAGATGGACATTTCCAGTATGTTCCCCACAGCAGAGAAACAACTGGGCCAAGCTCAAAAGGACATCTGGAGCAAAGCATTCCTTTATTGAAAGAGACAGCTAAAAGCCACTTAAAAGAAAATCCATTTAATTTGCCCACTGGTCATTTTTGCAATCTAGATTTATGAACTTGGCCCTGGTCCATAACTGCTATCAGTACTGCTGAGTCTATGTAATGCTCAAGAAAGCAGGGCCTTTGGGGATACAAAGGAACAAGCTCTCTGAAGGCAAGTTATTGAAAAGAAGATTTATGAGAAAGAATGAGAAAGAAACTAAAGGACACTGTGGGAAAATTTCCTCCACATACTACTGCACATGCCCATAGCACTTAGCATTTTTATTAGCAATTGTTTTCATAATAGCTTTATTACATTTTAACTAAGTCCCACCATATCCATCAGTGAATACTTCATTATAGATTGGCAGTCCATCAATGCTGCCAAAGCCTGGATGCAGCTCATCTAAATATAATTCTTTAAGGTAGGAGTATAATTTTACAGACTCCCTAGAAATTCACCAGAGAGAAAAACCATAGAAGATGATTTGGCCCAAATAATCTGGCCTGAAGACCTGAATAAACTTCTGGAAATACCTCTCCTGTCTCAATTATCTACAGGGCCTAAAGCAACAATGTCCTAAGTTAACAATTAAAAGCAATCAACCAAGTTGCAGTGGCTCAGACAAATGCCAGATTTTAGTACACAGCAGAATTCAGATAATCTTGAATTCCCCTCAGTCCAACCCTATTGCTATTGAGTGATCAAGGGACCTGTAACAACAACAAAGCTGAAGGCAAAAACCACACTTCAAACTGGGAAGTCCACAACAT